TAAGTCTGCTCCACCATGGATTTGCCGGTGACACCACACACAACAATGCAGATCACAAACACCTGTCCCACACTCCACACGCCACCGACACCACTACCAACACCACCAATCCCACCTCCCCACCACAAACACACACAAATCACAAAACTACAATTGCCGGAAAACCTCAGTAGCGACGCTCATCAGCCAAAACTACAAACTACAGACATCATCGGCGCTCAAGTAAAAAACACAACCCACAATTCGACATCACCGGTCAACATAGCCTCGGCATTGCGCAAATCGAGAAGTGACCTTGCGCACGATGGCCCTTGTGCGGCTGTTCAGAGTGACGGCGGCCTACGGCGTCTCGGAGTGGTGGTTTCGTCTTCGTAACGTTCGCATGGTGGTTGTCGAGGTGCTGCTTCGTCAGAGCGACGCCTCTTGGTAGAGGCGTCTTGTCCGGCGGTGGTCGCAGTAGCGTAGACGGAACCGACGACGCTGCTCCATGGTGAAATCGAATACAGAGAAGAAGATGAAATCGCCAATCGGTTTGGGAAGGAGATGAAACCCCTTTTGCTATCTGCCGAGAGTGACGGTAGAGAGTAGGGGTGGGTGGTAGAGAGAGAGGATATTTGAGTGGTAGAGAGTGTGTGTGTGAGGAGACAGTGAAGGAATCCGGTTTGAATGGTTGATTAAGTTTTTATTAATTATAATTATTAATACTTAATTATCACCCGATTTGTGAAATAAAAATTAATCCACCTGTTTTTTGAAAATGAACTTTTAAAAGTAGGTTTCTAGGTAATTTTCTCTGTTGGATTTGTGATGCAAATTCATCTAGAGTTTGTGTGGTTTGGTGTATTGGCCCTGAACACATCTAAATATGGTCCATGGAGAAAAAAGGGAATGATGGTGTTTACCTACTACTAGTTGGAAGCTCGAGCGGCGAGACGAAATTTTTAACAGAGGACATGCCGCCCACCTACCGCTCGACTGGCGTTCAAGCGTCGTTGTCGTCTGGTTTTCCTTATTTTATTTATTCCATGCATTTTTGACCTAGTTTCCATCTTTAGGGCAGTTATCAGTGTTTGACATGTACCCCTATAAATAGTAGACTCTTATTTGCAAGTCAGAATTGTATAGGAATACAATATTGTTGTAATTTCTCTCTCCATTATAGTTGAATAAAATATTCAATTCCTCTATCAAATTAAATTCTTATTTCTTGTGCTTTTATGGTATGATCAATACTTCATATCGTGTACTATACCTCGTCCCTTCCTCAACAGTTAGCTTTGAAACGAAGCAAACAGTCATGTTGCGATTCTTAAGTGAGACGTTTATCCATGATCTTCGTGTTTTATTATTTCCTAATATTATAGTTTTAAGAATGCATGTTAGCTTAAATGGAGATAAAATGTCACTTCTACGAAAATCAATTTTTAAGAAGGCTCGAATTCGATTAAGAAAATGAAAAGTACCCTAGTTCTGCAAAATTTTCACATTAACCTTTTTCTTGAGTTAAAATGACGTAAATTTCAAATTATGAATTTTTATTTGTATTTAACCTAATTAATGGACTCGGCTAATAATGCAACATATTTTACAACATTGTCGAAATATCATAGTCCCTATACATCATTTTTTTTTCTCATAAGAATTTCACTGTCGAGTTGAGTGTTCATTTACAGAAAAACAGCAAAAACAAATAACCATTTATAACAAGGGTAAAAAGGGGATCTATAAGATATTTTTAAGAAAAATCTTAGGGTGACGGTGTACAAATATTCACAAATATTTTTATAGTTACACCACATTTTAATAAAATTAAAGGTCATTAACGAGATTTTTGGACAAAAATTATCATCAAGGACAACTAGTATAAATTTCAAAATTTATCCCAAATTTCTTTCCAAATTTTCTTTAAAATAGAGTAAAAAAAAACTCATTTTTCCATAATATTTTTAAATAAACAACAGAAATAATAATCCGAAAATACGATTAAATATTTGACTCTCATTTTAAAACACAGTAACAACATTTTTGGATGAAAATCATAATTAAGGATAAGATTTTATGATTAATGAAATGTTAAAAATAAGAATGTGACGAAGAAAAAAGTGAAAGATATAAGCAGTGTTCGAAAAGGCGCCAAAATGCGCAGCCTAGACGCGATGCGGGGACCAAACGCGTTGAATTGGTGCAATGCGCGAAAAATGCGTTTTTGAAATTTTTTGTTCGAAAATTCGCGCGCCTAGGCACGCCTAAGCGGGCATTTTAGAACCAAATTTTTTTTTTTTTTTGGTAAAATTTTTTTTTTATATATATATATAAAAATATATTTAATGTCTTAAAAATATGAAACGCATTATGCCGTTTATTACTGACTTGACCATCGGAGTGCTTACAGCCGCTCCCAACCCCTCCGAGAAAAGGCCTTAAATGACTGACGGTGTGCCACGTGTGTAGGGAGGAGTTGACTGGAAGACATCTTCTGTTGGCCACGTGTCGGAGCCATTTTTTGAGGTCAACACATATATTCACAAATATTTTTATAGTTACACCACATTTTAATAAAATTAAAGGTCATTAACGAGATTTTTGGACATAAATTATCATCAAGGACAACTAGTATAAATTTCAAAATAAGAATACGATGAAAAAGGTTAGAGAAATAAATGTGACAATGAGTAGATTTACTCAAAAGAAGGGAAGAATAAAATATTTAAATTTGAAAAAGTGAAAAAAACAATTATAATTTCAAATTTTGTCCCAAATTTCTTTCCAAATTTTCTTTAAAGTAGAGTAAAAAAAACTCATTTTTCCATAATATTTTTAAATAAACAACACAAATAATAATCCGAAAATACGATTAAATATTTGACTCTCATTTCAAAACACAGTAACAACATTTTTGAACGAAAATCATGATTAAGGATAAGATTTTATGATTAATGAAATGTTAAAAATAAGAATAAGACGAAGAAAAAAGTGAAAGATATAAATATGATAATGAATAAAGATAAATGATTTTTAATGTAATTAAAATGTGATGTATTTATAAAAAAAAAATGTGAATATAACTACCCATTAAAATATTTAATCATTGTCTGATAAAGATTATAATTAGATTTTTAACAGATTTTAATCAAAGTTGATCAAATGTAAAGTTGAAAAGTTATAAATCATATAAAATGTGTGGTTAATCAATTTTATGATTAAAGATATAATTCTAGAATTTAATATTCAACGTGATAATATTTTTCAACTCGATCATATAATAGTTTAAGAATAATATTTTTTTAGCATGCCACTCTTTGGTTTGTTGCATTGTGAAAAGTTAATTTTTTAAAAAATTGATTTTTTAGAATACGTGGTTAAAAATAAAAAGAAATTGAACTTTTTGGAATGGGTGGTGAGAAGTAAGAGAAGATTATAAAAATATATTAAAGGTGATCCTAACATCCATGAAATCAGAGGGTCCATGGAACAAAAAATGGCAAAACATGAAGTCACTCCTCTTTCCCAGTTTCTCTTTTGTTTCCCCCACTTTTCACGCCATTTAATGGCCCGATTTCATCAATATATAAATAGAAATGTGGATAGAGGTCACAGTTTTCCTGGATTTTACCTAAACAACGGTTGCTTTTTCCTACTTTTTCTGAGTTTTTACTTTCTAATCACGGGTGATGAGGAGAAGTGTCATTTTGTTTCTTGAAATTTTGATAGCAAGATTGAATCAATTTTCATAAATTTTGTTCAATTTTCTCTGCCCCGAAAAGAAATGATCATGTTTTTGTAAAAATACCTTACTTGGGAGAAACTACATTTCCTTCTCATTTCCCTAAAGAAAATTTATCGATTTTGTTGTTAACATTTTTTAGTGTCCATGCAGAAAATTATTGTATCTTCTGCAAAATTGGGTAAAGTAAATAAATTGGGATTGTTCGTACCTCGATGTATTCCAACCTGTCAAGGTTATCTTCATGCAGTGTTTTAAGAATGGATTTCGAAGCTGACAGTTTCGAGACTTGAAGCTGAATTATCTCTTTCTGGAAAAACGAGAAACTTTTAATTAATTTGGTTCAAATACACTCGAAAATGGATAACGGGTTTGAATTGGGTGCTTGGGTGCAAAAACTTTACATGTTGTCCACTTCTGATCATGCATCAGTTGTGTCAATGAACCTCTTCGTGGCCCTCCTCTGCGGATGCATTGTTATTGGCCATCTGCTGGAGGAGAATCGTTGGATGAACGAATCAATCACAGCCCTTATCATTGTTAGTTTTACTTTCACTTTTTTTCAAAGTACTTATTCAAAACTTATATCTTGTTTGTCTTGTGGTTTGTTGAAGTACTGATACAGGGACTCGTATTCTAATTTTGGCTAACTGTGAATTTTGTGTCGTGTTTCGAATTGTCATTATTCTTTGTTTTTAATACCAGAATGTACTTTTCTATGTGGATACTTGCAGGGTTTATGTACTGGAGTGGTTATATTGTTGATGAGTAGGGGCAAGAGCTCACATCTACTGGTGTTTAGTGAGGATCTGTTCTTCATATATCTTCTTCCTCCTATCATATTTAATGCTGGGTAAAGTTGATGCTTCTATTTAATTTTCTTGTCCACAAGGTACTTTGATAATGTGTGTATGTTTGTTATCACAAGTCTACGGGAGCAATTATTATGCTTCTTGTTTGATTAAATCGTTATAAGAAATGCTTTGTCCATGGAGATTGGATTATTTAATTTAAAGTGTGTCTACAAAAAGTTTTACCATGAAGGTGGGACATATAACATGAGGCTAAGTGAAGAAGTTTGGAAGGTTTGATCTTTTATTAAAATTTCGATGCTATGCAATCAGATAGTAATGGTGGTGGAATAGACGATGAATAGTGCAAGAGTTTGAACTCTAAAAGCAGAATTTATTTGCATTGGTTGATGTAAATTGACCGGCTATTAAATTATGAAATTTGGTACGGAAATAATGGAGTAGAGAAATCTCCTCAGTCCTCATGATGTTAGGACTTAGAACACTACCAGAAGCAATGTACCGGAGCTAGTTGTGGGTGGCTGGTGACAGTGATATTCATCAAGCAGAATCTATTGGTCTTTGAGACTGCAAGCTGAAGTGACAATTCTGTTCTTAAAAGTTTTGTTAGGGTTGCAGCTTGTAATAATTCGTATGTATGATTTGGAAAATACGAGAAATTAATATGTTATTAGACAGAAAAAAGGACTCCGAATTGGAATAGCGCGAATATATACTTAATTGTAGTTCCTTTTGATCATATGGTTATTAGGGAAAGTGGAAATGATGATGGCAATATGCATATTCAATTACTGATAATATATCTCAGAGGAGTATTTATGATTCCCTTGTTCTAATTCTGTAAATTTAGTCAACGGGGGGTACAAGTCGGAATGAAATTTTTAAAATTGGTGTATTTGCCACGTAGAAACAAGATGCTGGAGAAGGTGTGATGGAGATTCTGGCAGCAATAAACTACTAAAAGATGCTTCAATCTTGTTACTTGTACTATGAGGTTTGGCTTGGTAAGTGATTTGAACAATTTTGAAGAGTAGGATTCTCTTCAAATGAAGTATTCAAAGTGGGTACAGTTGATTACATGTATGTGGAAAACAGGTGAATGATCCTTTTACCGATAACTACCAAGAAAGAAAGTTAATGTTAAGTAGTATCAAAATAGAGAAGCATTGATGAAGCCCTTATATAGAAGGCACAAATACTAGCAGTATTGCTAGAAGTCTCTGTGGTTTTGACAAATTTGAAAAATTAATAATAACCTGCAATTAACGGGAAAATGGGTTACTAGCTAGATTTCAGAGTAGCCCTGCAGTACAGATATCCCTTTAGATTGATGAGTTGGTCATTTTGTCAAAAATATCAACATGGAGAAGGGTGAAATTTTGTACAAGTTGAGTGGTGAGGTAATGGTCAAGAATGGCAGTAAGTGTTATAGAGAACCCTAGACTATGACTATATTTTGCTTTGAATGGTGTGTGCCCCCTGAACAATACAATCCTATTGACATGGAACGTAAAGAAGGTGGACATTGTTACTTGTGTCTCTTTTGGAAATTTCAGGTTCACTATGTCACACCACATTGCCTCCTGAAAAATGTTGCAGTATTCGCATTTGTTCAATTCTTTTACAAGCATATGTCATACATGCTTCCCATGCAACTAATTTGCAGCTGAGGACTAATCTACCAAAAGGTTTTCCATATATCCGTGGATTCATCCCCATGCAGTTTCTGATACATTAGTATCTAAACCTGTCATTCCATCTAATTCTCTTGCTCTCTCGCTTTGTTTGTGCGTGAGAACCTGTTCGCCAACATGCTTAGTGTCTGAGTGCATTAGGTTTTAATCTTTCTTCATCATTTCCCTTGTGTTTTATCCATCTTTAGATAGGTCCATTTTACTTTGTATCCCACCCATCCACACCACCGCACCTCTCTCACAACAATACAAGATAGAACAACCTATTGTAGTCCTGAATCACTTTAGTGTTTGATCTGTCATTATATTAAATGCAACACTTGTTTTTCTAAATTGATTGTTTCTGTTTGCACAATATGGTTTCTGTGTCATGATTGAAGGTTGCTGAAATGCTTATAGATATGAAATTTCTTATTCACTTTTATTTTCTTTTCCTAATTTGAGAATTTTTATATGAAGACAGAGCACAATTGATTTTGTCATATTAAGGGTTGACGTCTGCTACCTCAATGGCTAAGAAAAATTTCTCCAGTACTATAATCTCTATGATTTTTTGTTGGGACCCTGAAGTGTAGACTAGTTGCACACTTTTCCAGTAAATTATCTGTTCACAAGCTTAAAACTTTATTACTTCCTGTGGCAGATTCCAGGTGAAGAAGAAACAATTTTTCCGTAACTTCATCACTATAATGTTGTTTGGAGCTTTTGGTACACTTATTTCATGCGCTGTCATATCCACGGGTACTTTATTTTTTTTACTTTATCCATATAATTTCCTCCCCCCTACAAAATTTTCTGTTTGTATATGAAGATTTTACTTATTGTTTCCTTTATCCACAGTTTTCTCCCCCTGCAAAATTTTCTGTTCATTTGTATATGAAGATTTTACGTATCGTTTATGAATCGGTTCTGTTATAGCAATTTTTTTAGTCACAGAGTATTAAAGTTCCTTTGAAACCATCTTGAATTTTTTATGCTTCAGATTATAACTTTTTGTAAATCAGATATTGCTTTTAACGGTACTCGCACTCCATAGCATTTTGTATGTTCTCGACATGGACTACATTCATATTAAGCTCTTGAAATATGCACAAAAAATATGGAAATAGGTCATTTTTTATATTATGTCTTTGGACAAAAACTACCAATTTTAAGAGATTTGTTCCAATATTTTATGGAACATCTGGATTGTTGTGGTGTGCATCAACTCATCCTGACCTGATATAAATGTTGAATGTTTTTTATTTTTTATTTTTTTGGAAGGAAATAAAATGTTAATATTGATCAAAAGGAAAAGAGAGAGAGAGAGAGAGAGAGAGAGAGAGAGAGATGATTGTCTCGTTCCTATTATCAAAATGGGAGGGTTGACTTAAAAGATTAATGTAAATAAATGATAACTTACAACTTGAACAAACTGAGGAAGCATCTGCCTTGCCTTAAATTTCTTTCTAAAGAGAAAGATGTTAAAGTACTTTATGGCTTATCTAGTGTCTGTGGAAAATGCAATCTTGTTCTATTATTTACCTCTTGTGTATGATTCAGGTGTCATGTTATTCTTTAAGAACCTGGAAATTGGCTACCTGGATATTAGTGATTATCTAGGTATTACCTTACAACTTTTGTTTACTTCACATATTTACTTGTTAGACGGGGCTCCGCATAAATTTTTTGGGTTTCCCTTTCTTCTCCATCATTTCAGCAATTGGTGCAATATTTGCTGCAACAGATTCTGTTTGCACATTGCAGGTACAAAAGAATATGTTAAAGCTTACTTCAATCTTATGAAATCACAACACATTCTGAAATGATAATTGATTCATGTTATCAGGTGCTAAGTCAAGATGAGACGCCACTACTTTACAGTTTAGTATTTGGAGAAGGTGTAGTGAATGATGCTACTTCAGTGGTGCTTTTCAATGCCATTCAAACCTCTGATCTGACAACTACTGATCCAACAATTGCTTTACACTTCATTGGAAGTTTCTTGTACTTATTTCTTGCGAGCACCCTGCTTGGGGTTGTGGTACGAGTCTCTCTCTCTTTCTCCCCCTTCATCTTCCTTCCAGGATCACTCTCATACGCAAGCGTGTACGTTGTGGTATTCTCTCTCTAATATAGCATTTAAATTTCTGCTGCAGACTGGACTTCTCAGCGCTTTTATAATCAAAAAGTTATACTTCGGAAGGTAATAAAATAAACTTTATTTTATGTTTCAGTTTTTCTTTGATGTAGAATTGATTCTTTATTGACGAAAAGGGACTTTTTGTAAGCAATTTTATTGCACGAAATTCTTCTGTTAAATTAGTATATTTAATAAAACAAAGGCTGACAATGATTATTTGACTGGAAAAAAATAGGTAGCATTATGCACCAGATTCACACCTGTAATGTGAAAGAAACAGAAATATATGGGACTAAGAAAAGAAATAAATATCACTTTCGAATGGAAATTTTACGGAAGGATAGAAAGGCAGAGTTCTTAAGGACATATATAGAAGCCTTATATATTATAGAAACGAACTTTGAGGACTATTATAATAATCAGAATTCTTGAACGTTACTTTTCTGGTCAAAAATGCATGGATCTAAACTTCAGTTATTTCATTCCTGGTTTTTCACTCTTCTCTTGCTAGTATCACTAGCATTATCATCTGTTGCAAATATATCTATAGCAATTCGAGGTGAACTTATACTTTAATTCAGGCACTCTACAGATCGTGAAGTTGCGCTTATGATTCTCATGGCATATTTATCATATATTCTAGCCGAAGTAAGATTCCATTTATCAACTCTGGAATTCTTTTTTTTTTCCAACATGCAATTTATATTTAGATCTTTGTGGATACTATAAATTGCTTTCAACTTGATGCAGCTATTCTATCTGAGTGGAATTCTCACTGTATTTTTTTGTGGAATCGTGATGTCTCATTACACCTGGCACAATGTGACTGAGAGTTCAAGAATCACTACGAAGTACGTTTACACTAGAATTTTATTCGGGATCGTTGAAATTCATTTACTTGCCCGAGACTAGCCACTCAATGAATGCATTAGTAATTTATATCTCGAATTTACAGGCATGCTTTTGCAACTCTGTCGTTTGTTGCTGAGACTTTTATCTTCCTCTATGTTGGCATGGATGCCTTGGACATTGAGAAGTGGAGGTTTGTGAGTGAGAGGTATGCTGACTACATTCAGACTAGAGAATATATTTCTAATGATCTGAGTGACTATTTGTCCTTGGAGATCATTCGAGCAATCCATCTTCAGTACATTTTTTTCTCATATTCTCTAAATTGGGTTCTTTGTAGTCCCGGGACTTCAGTTGCAGTGAGTTCGACACTTTTGTGCCTAGTTTTGTTAGGGAGAGCAGCTTTTGTGTTTCCTTTATCTTTCTTAATTAACTTAACGAAGAAATCTCGGAATGAACACATCACCTTTGGGCAACAAGTAAGCAGTTGCTTGCACTTGAGTTTAATCACAATTCCCAATTATTAATTCAACAAAGTGAGTTTTCCATTCATTCTTCTCATTTGATAGGTGATAATATGGTGGGCGGGACTCATGAGGGGTGCTGTATCTATGGCCCTCGCTTATAATAAGGTGATCTTGTAGATTTGATGTGAATAACCTCCATCTAAGCCACTACTGGATGCGTTTCCTAGTATGAATTCTATTAAAACCGTCGTCAAGGACGTGAAACCAAATATAAGAGCTCTGCGTGCTCTTCTATTATGAGTTCTTCGTGTGTTGATATTCATTGATGAAGTGTCTCATCTCCTCTAGTATATCTTACAGACGAGCGACTTGTTTGTGTTTTTGCAGTTCACGAGATCTGGGCATACTGAACTACGACCGCATGCAATAATGATTACCAGCACTATAACTGTTGTTCTCTTCTCGACAATGGTGACGAATCCCCTGCCTTCTAGCTTCCACTTCCACTTTACTTCTTCATTTCAGTAGACACTCACTTTCTTTTGTCATATATAGGTATGTGGTCTAATGACACAGCCTCTTATAAGACTTCTGCTACCACATCCAA